TCTTTCTGCTACTGAAGACGATGAATTGAAAGGTTCGATGGAAGCAAATATATGCAAGCTGCTCGAGAACTTGCAAATGAACTCAGTGTAAGCGCTTCAAGTGTTGCTGAGCAGCTAAGGAACATTGGGAAGTTGAAGGGGTTGGACAAATGGATACCGTACGAATTGTTTTCCTTCACGATAACATGCGACGCTGCAAAAGTTGAACGAGCTGGGCTACGAAACCCTGCCTCACCTACCATGAAGGTGAGATGTCTCAGCTACCACCTACCACTTCGTCAAGCATATCAACAAATTCTTGTGCCAGAAATACTTTAGAAATCAAGCCAACGTCGAAACTGCCTTTGAAGACTAACAACAACGCAGGATTCCTAACCACATAGCTCCACGATAAGGGAGGGCGTAGCACTGTGGTAGTGATCTCGTTTATAAGGTGGACCTGCCCAAGCACTGGTTCGACGCTGCTCCGTGCCACAAGAGTTTTTCGCCCATCCAGGACCGGGAAATTGCTACCAAACTTGTCAGACCACTCGCTTCAATCCACGTGAGATCTCCCAGAGCGGATATTTCAGGATGGTAGCGAGAGTCAACTCGACCAGTATTTAAACCATATTCGTGACGAAACGAATCGAATACAAGGTCTGTGATTTTCATAGTGTAATACAGTGTAATACAATACATGTGATGTCGGGTCACATGATAAATAAATAGATAAATAAGCACTGCACCACGGCTATACAAGGTCTGTAAAACATATAAGGATAAAAGGATAAAGCTCTGGGCGTTGATCAATCCTGAGGGATGTACCATACATTTGTCTTCATTAAGTGTCGTTAAAGGTGAATGGATGCATAACTGGCCTTTACAATGGCTAGCGGTGGCCTACCGATGTATCGAGTCAGTGTTGCTATCCTCCCAAACAAGTCGGGCACCAATTTGTCGACCCCGTAGGGATGGAGGGCTTGAAGGACTTGGGCGCGCTGAGCGGATCGATGCTATGTATATTGCAGAGCGCCTCTGACCACTGCGCTACAAGCGTCCAGCTGATAAAGGGTACAAATACAGGCACCACAAACGCCACAGGATACGAAGCCTTCGACAAACCTGAGCAGCTACCCAGTCGCCCACGTCATGTTAAGAAAGAGAAGTGCGGTGGCAAGAGCGGTCTCGAGGCGATTCAAAGGACCGCGCTGCGTCGATCAGCCGCGTCACGACTGCACTTTCGCACTTGGGGTGATATCGCGGAGTGGGCAGAAGCAGCTCAACCCTCATCGTCATACGCAGATATCGTTATCATTAACCTTAACTTAGTAGGACTGTGAAGCTAGCTTATGAGTTATTTGGTCCGCTTAATATATCGCGTTTGGTGAGTTCGTGTTGTCCTCTTCACGATCAGCTCAGTTTCTAGTAGTTCCATGTGTTTCCTGGTGATATCAGCAAGATTGACGTAGTGTTAGAAGGGCAGCAGTGCCGCCACGGACGGCCCGCCCCAGATCTTGGCCGATCCGTGCGGAGCGTCGCAGTGCGAGATGCTCTTGTAACACCCTTGCCTTCCCTCGCTCGTCCCGCTGCCCCAATTCGCCACCCCAGCTCACTCCTGGTCCCTGTCCGGCTCGAGGAAGATCTGTTCAGCCTCTTCCTATCGAACTAGCTTTGAGCCCAACGTCGTCCTCACCGCCTCCCCACAGGGACTCCCACATTTCCTGCTGCGTCGTTTCAGGCGTAACGCGACAATTCTATTGACGACGCCATTCTGCGGCCCGTCTGTCCTCGCTTTTCCTTTTTCCGCGATTTGAATTCTATTTAGGGTCACAGCATTGTGTTAACTATTAATATATGTACACTCATTACTAACATTTATAAAGTACAAGAAATCTTGTTCTCATTCGTCTAAATCGATAATGCTCATCTCCAGTGACTTCCATGCTTCACTTTGATTATTAGCAAAATTTCTATAACATTTAACCCTCTACATCACATAACCCATAGCCGAAACAGATTGTCTGACAAGCAAAGACATTTCAAGTGTCCGAATTTCTATGATCTTTCATTTGTTAAAAGTTTTTCCCCTCAAACTCTACTTCCACTGACTATCTAGGAGTTCTAGGGTTTTTGGCCATGTAGTCTGGAAGTCCTTGTTTACGGATTCGGGTTGATAACCAACTTTACCTCGTCATTAACTTACCTTTATCACACGTACAAGCATTTTCTGTTAATACCGTAAGTTTCACTCATAAATTGTGGTTTATTTTGTTGATAATGTGGACTGGAGAAGTGTGTAATGGACTGGAGCGACGGTGTCATGTTGCTCTTAAATGAAAGCGTTTATCTCGTGGAGTTCTGGGGCTCCCAGACATGTTTGCCAGTCCGCCATCTGTTTGTTTTCCTGACCCTCACTTCCAGACTTCCTACTTTACCGTGTCCGCTTTCCGTTCGCTGGTTCGCGTTGTTCTGGTCAGAGATCTCCTCTAAATGAACTTCTCGGAATCTGTGGTGGTCCTGTTGTTGTACAGTTAATGGACTTCCATCCGTTCATCCTTCGATGAATCTCCTCGCTGCGATTTTTCGTGCTCTTAGTGTCAGGTCCACATAATGTGTCTTGTGCATGTACGGAAAAGGTCCGATGTGTCACATTTGTTGTGCTTTGGTCACGTCACCTCCGCCATTGGATGCATCTTTGTTCGTCTGCTGTCGGTGCTGGATGGATGCCCATGCGCCGTACGCATTCATTCATGAATTACCTACAGTCTTGACTTTCAGCATAAGTGGAGTAGGCTGGAATAGGGCGCTTCCAGTTCTGCACCAGTACCACACTCCTGACCGGTAGTCACTGCTCGCTGCCATATCGAAGGAGGGTTTGCTGTGTTTCGAATATGATTCTTCTAGTAGAGTGGCGATTGTTACGTCTAGTCGACCAACACCGACACCGAGCGCTACTGGACTGCAGACCATCGGCCGAATTGACGTGCAGGATATGATCCACTTACTTGTTAGTACGATCATAATCATTATTCGTTACTACGTTGTCGAGTACATGGAAGATATGAATCATTCAGGCCTAGCAGATGCCGGCAGCCATTTTCCCAAAATCCAGCGTCCTCTTGTGGCAAGTATGAGATCACTCCTGATCTCCACTTAGCCCCTGCTCGCTATCTTGGGTCGCTCCGCGTGTCCTGTCTACTCAGTTCGTCTTTACCACCGCTTCTCATTCCTAAACTCTCTACGTTTTAATTAAGTTATTGGCAACTATTTATTTCTCCCAACTTTGTGAGCTGGGCCGTCACTGTTTCCTCTCGAATTCAAATGCCAGTCTGGTTCTCATTAGTTCGCACTATCGTTGTTTTTTATTCTTACTAGGACAACTCTACGTGGAGAAAGTTTTATCTCTAAAGTCTCTTAAACCACCGAACTCCTAAATTGTCCTCGTGGATGCTTTTCCTTACATTAGTTATAATATTAAGGTTGTTCTTCTTTGTTCTTTTAAGGATTTCCTAGTTCATGGTTTGTTATATCAGCAATCGTATCGTAGCGATTTCACCCGGAAGAAGTGTTTGGCTCAGTGGATAAAAAACAGGTGAAGAAGACCAGTTTCGTCACTCAGTTTACATCAATCTCACTTCTTTCCCGGATTTACTACGTGCAAAGACAGGAATCGACCGTCAAACTGGCTCCGTACTGTTTTTTTTCCGTCACTGGATGGTTGAGAATATCTTTCTGTATGTTGTGACGGGAGCACGCATCCAGTACTAGTTGCGAAATCGATTACTGTGTCCTGGAATACAAGTAAGACGGTTTGTCTTCTTTATCGTCGTCGTCGTCGTCGTCGTCGTCAGCGATCGGGCCGAGTGCGACCGACGTCGATGGGCGAGGCGTGGGGTCCCCGACGCTGTCTGGATGGCAGCGGACGCGATGACACCTATGCGTATCGATCGATTGTCGCTCGGTCGGGCGGGTGGGCAGAGCGGCGGCCAGCAGCGTCCCGTCGTCCTCAGTCCGCTCGCCTGGATGCGTCATTCGGGTCTTGCCTGGAAACACTCGGCGATTTCATTGCTCACGGATTCTCAAGTGTTTCCTCTAGAACCACCATAATCTACGTCCTATCTATGTTTGTGTCTTAGGAACAAGGCCAAGGCGGTTAAGGACCAACTGGTATGCTCGCACTGTCTGCACAGTTTTCGTTGGTTGCTATTGCTTGGCCTGGCCGAACGTTGAAAGTACTAGGATTTCTATGAACACTGACGTAATCCGGATTTACGACTATTTTCGATAGATTTTGAAGATGAACTATGGTCATGTCGCAATTGGTTTTTGTTAATTGGAGTGGACCGCTCAACTAACCATATTCGATCGGGTTTTGAAGAGTGGTTGCTGCTTTCAGTGGGTTATCCGTTTCGAAAGTCAATGCTATTTTGGACAGAATGATGGGATATCGTTTTTGAAGTACCCAAGAGGTACCAATCACTTTCGTGCTGTAATCGCACACGCATTGCTCTGCGATTCTACTAGAGACTGGCCTTTTATTCCTTTTCCAGTTGTTTTCTTGTGCTTCATATTGACTAGAAGATTCATGCCATCACAGTGAGGACACTTTTTTGTATAGTATTCGTCGTTCATACTTTTTAAAACTGTGCAACCATTCGCTTATTGTAGCGGTTTTGTACGAAAATAACTCACTGATCTCCTCTGAAAACCTCCACAAATGGACGACATGAAGCGGATTCGATTCATTGAATGTCCCTCGGATATGTGCGCATTAAATGAGCTCATATTACTCTTATATCTCGGTATTGAATGGATTTAAATTCTCTTAATCGAATGCCAAATAACTTTTTTCGTAAACGTTTTGGTTTCAGAGTTAGAGTTTTTCTTCGGATAATAGCTTTTGGTACTCCATTTGTGTTCCGTACATTTGTACCTGTCTGTCTTTATTTCTGACGACTGGCAACTTAAAGGGAATTTTTAGGGATTCTGCACGGGTTGTCCCTCACTAGATAGTAATTATGGCGGCGATTAGGAAGAAGGTACGACGTTAGAGTTTGTATAAGTCACTGAACTACTCCCTATTGTTTCTGTTTAGCTGGTGATCGTTGGTGATGGAGCATGCGGGAAAACTTGTCTGCTGATTGTCTTCAGCAAGGACCAATTCCCAGACGTATATGTGCCTACAGTTTTTGAGAACTATGTTGCTGATATTGAAGTAGATGGAAAGCAGGTATGTGGACGGCATACAGGCATACATTTATTAGTGTTCACTAAGCTGAAGTTGGTGAGCTGTATTCAGGTTGAACTGGCATTGTGGGATACAGCCGGTCAAGAAGATTATGATCGTTTACGCCCACTTTCATATCCTGACACGGACGTCATACTTATGTGCTTCAGTATCGACTCACCTGATTCCTTGGAGAATATACCTGAGAAATGGACTCCGGAAGTAAGTAACCTTTTTATCATTTTGGTCCTACGAGCTCTTTATAGAAGAATTTCCTTCCTTAATAATGGCTTTATAGAAATTCTAAACCTGGAGTTAGTCGATACCAGTGTAGGAAATTTGACATGCGGATGTTTTCAATAATCATTTTCGTTCTGTGTGGTGGCGACATCCTTCCCCTAAGTATGGATGTCGATGGAAGTCGGTTGTTCTTGTCACTGCTTCGTTGTATGTGTTAATACAAGAAGTTGTGACCTTCTCCTTTTACCACCATTTGTTAGAACTGTGATCTGAAACATCTGTTTCCTGCTGTATTTCCAGGGCATGGCCAGAGAGGCCAAATGCTTTAGTATTGCTACAAGTTAAGCTACTTGGGTGTTCTTTCCAAATTTGCTCCAAACCCAAGATTAATGACCTCCATGGGCTTGACTGTAATGCCATCATAGGTAATAATTGGAGAACATTTCATAGATATTCACTTGGATGTTTACATGACTGGATGGTCCGGCTTCACTGGTTGTGCGGACCCTAGCATAGTTTCTATTTTATCGGAGTTTTGCTGGAGTTTTGGCCATTGTGCTGCTCTGGAGTCCCGAGGTCAGCCTAGTCAAAGTCTGACCTAGGGCGCCACCACCACAGGCAGTCGCCGACATTGTGGTTAAGGAGATTTGCCACCATGAGACTAGTTTGATACTGGGACGGTGGTGGATCCTGGTATTGGCTACTCTTATCTGGGTTTCCTGTTAGAATCGCAGCACTTGTAAACCTGGGAGACTGCTGGAGGAATGGATCTCCCTATTCTACATCGCAGCTCGACACCCAGGATCACATCCGAGCCACAATGACATGCCTAATCGTTTGGAGAGATAAACACTGTAGATAGTAAATTTGAAGTGGAAAATTTTGCACAGTATGTACCTTGTGAAACACAGTTTACAACGAGGCTGATCTGTTTAGACAGACACTGAATTACTAGTGTTGATCAGCTATGTAAGGAAGTGAATATTGACGTTTTTAAGAACTGGAGAACTTGGCCTTGATAGCGATTGAACCAAAGATGGTGTTTGTCCACGTGTTTTTTACATGTCCGCATTTTTATGGTTTCATTCACCTTACAGGTTCGACATTTCTGCCCTAACGTGCCCATTATTCTTGTTGGTAATAAGAAAGATTTACGAAATGACCCGCAAACTGTGCGGGAGTTGAACAAAATGAAACAGGTACGCCTATTTCTTGGATTTCTCTCGTTGTGGCACGTTTCCTCGGTGCGAAACCACTTTTAGGTGAAATGTGAATTCATCTGACTTACCTAGGGATTTTACTGTTTTTATAGGCTTTATTTGTTCTTATGTTTAATAAATGCTTTCATGCTCACGTACTATATTGTATGTACTATACTGTAGTACTATGCTATACTACTACACACCGAAAATCCTTAAATTACAGGAGCCAGTAAAACCTGAGCAAGGTCGCGCAATAGCCGAGCAGATCGGCGCATTTGCATATCTTGAGTGCTCAGCGAAAACCAAAGACGTGAGTTTCAATACTTGTTGGGAATGAACTGTCCCAATTCTAGAAACTAAAGTTGTGTTCTGCTGTTTAAAAATACTCGATAAAGCGGAATCACAATGTTAACCTTTTACAACCACAACGTTGCTGAGATATTTGCAAAACTCTGGACCGCAGGTGTCTATGGTGGGGAACGAACGCGCTATTATCCTTTCCGGGGAGTAACGCGTTCAACCTTTTATTTACTGCCCATTAAAATTTTTCATGGGAGGCTAGTACAACCACGGTTATGCTGAGATATTTGCAAAACTCTGTGGTGAACGCGTTAGCACAGAGAAATGGTAATAGCGTGTTCGTTACCCACCGCAGACACATTTGTTCCGGGAACATTTACCTACTGCATTTGCATGGCGTCATAATAGCTTTACAGTTGCATTTCACATCATACCCTGCCGTGAGAAACAATTAGTAGCCAGAAAATAAAAAGTTTTATAGTAACAGTCCCGTTGATGGGTGATTGCTGATGGCCTGATCGACAGAACTAGCTGAGATACAGCGAAAAGAAGGGCCCGCATGGTGTGGTGGTGAACGCTTTAGCTCTCGCAAAGGACAATAGTGCGTTCGTTCCTCACCGCAAACACCTGCGGTCCGGAGTTTTCCAAACATCTCAGCATTATTGTGGTTGAGTTTTAAAGTAGTTTTCATTTTGTGCACTTGTCCACACATGTGATGGGCTTTTCAGGGTATTCGTGAAGTTTTTGAAAAGGCGACGCAAGCTGCACTTCAGCAGAAGAAGAAGAAGAAGAGCAAGTGTGTGCTACTATAGAGTGTCCGATTGCTTTTTGCTTGTTCTGAACTCGTACGTATCGATGACGACGAAGTTTATTTCCGTTTTGCTCTTAAATTTTTGTACGAGGCAGAGCCATCGTTCTCCTAATGCTCCCGTGTAGCTATCCTATTCTTCCTTCACCTTCTCTCCACCGATCTGCCAAGGTGCTGCCCGCCCTAGCTGTCGACTTTTCCGAATTCAGTTGCTGATCTTTAATTTGGTCATTTGTGCCCCAAATTTGCTAGATGCTATTTCACCAGCCGATATCGTTTGTTATATCATTTCTGGCCTCTTATTCTGGTTTTGTTTATTACTCGACACATGTTCAGACTATTTGTAGGGTTTAGATTGTTACATTTTGCACTCTTAAGCAACTACATTTCTCGTGTCACTTTATTAAGATAAATATTACTAATTTATCATAATGTCGCACAAGGTTACTTCAAATCTGAAATCCTCATAAAGAATGGGAAAGCTAGAACAGTCGCTCAAAAAGTTGATCGTCTGCCTCGTGTGGCATGGTAACGGTGAGGTCGGCGTTCTAAACAACGTTCATGAACAACTATTGAGCACACATTAAAGTTGGTGTATACGACATTGCCATTTCTAGCACTTCTAGAAAAAAGCTAGCGGCTGTTTTAACGTGCTATGCAATAAGCTTGAGCCATTTGATAAGTTTGTCAGTAGGTAATGAGGACTGTGATGTGACACTATTGTACGGTTAGCATCGGGCTAGACCTTATCTTTCGCCGTGACACTCACCAGTCTTGGTAGTTTGACTCGACAACGTTGTCACCATCAGTTCATGATCCATGGACTAGTTTTAACCGCGGGTAAGAGTGGTTGAAATGAGTCACATACATACCCAACTGTTTTATAGGTACTCTCGTAAATGACATAGCAGGCATGACGCTAACTATGGTCCACAGTTCTTGAAGAGTACTCATGAAGATTTTCTGAAGTACATGCAAAAATCAATGGCGATAGTTCCGACGATCCCTTCGTCCACTTTCCTTGCGCAGAACGACCTTGAGCAAGGTCTTCCTTTGTTTGAGACCCTTCGTTCTTAAAGACGTGATGTGATATTACCTGTGAGCAGTGTGTCGTTGCTAGCTTCCAGCTTCCAGGTGGTAGTTTCTTTTGGTTCTGGAACTGTTCCTGCTTGCATAATTTTGATCGCATCTCCAGTTTTAGAAGGAAAGATCGCGTATTTTTCTCAGAGGTGTATATATATACATGAATGTATATAAAAGGATAAAGCTCACGGCGTTGACCAATTCCTAAGGGATACGCCACGGCATTCAACTTCGTTAAGCATCATTGGAGGTGATTGAAAGCATATCTGGCCTTTACAGTGACTCGCGGTGGCCTACCGATGTATCGAGAGCCAGTGCTGCTGTCCTCTCAGACAAGTCTGGTACCAATTTGCCTGCCTCGAAGGGATAGAAGGCTTGTTTAGCCACGAGCGCTGGGATCGAATCCATATGCATGTCGCAAGGCACCTCAGACCACTGCGCCACACGCTCCCTCATATACACAGTTTGGGTAAAAAAAAATGTGCATATATATGTATATGATGTTTTAAATCGTTTGCTTGTTAGAATGTACTTCCGTGTCTTACCAATGCCTGTGCTCTTTTGATCGCCTCTTGTGCTTTCTGGTTACCCGACCAACTACGACGCGCCACTCCATTGGAGACGTCCCACTGAAGCATCCCTCTAGCACGATTCGCTGCTTCCTAGATGAGCCAAGAATTTTTCATACATGGCAAGAAATTTTAAAGGCATGTGCATGGCTGCAACAGTGCAGCACACCATAGTGAGCAAACTAGAGGTATGTCGGATTGCGATCACTTGAAAGCCATTGAGGATGGAATGACGTAAATTGGAGCGGTGACTTTAGAGGGAAGCCTCAGAAAGGGTAGATATTGAGGTAGGTGCGGAAAGATAAGATCACTAGTGGATCGAGCTTTGATTGGCAAGTTAAAACGTGGGATTACTCATGATAATATATCATACCTAATGCAAAATCCGAAGTTTTCAATATTTGTGCTGGTGAACGAAAGCTTCCATAAGTTTTCACTTTAGCGCGGCTCCGAAGAGTTTGTTGCAGAAAACAATTGGCTATAAAGAGTGAATCGAATGAAAAGGAAAGGAAGCCTGCGAAGTAACGTCCTCAGATTTCTACATTCTTTCTTTATTCCAGACATGGGAATTTGAAGACTCCATCACATCAGCGCTCTTTCGTAGCTTCTTTTGTTTTCGTTCATACGAATTGGCTTCTTGATGAATGTAAGATGCATAAGATCTTGGTCATGGATAGACTTTTTCAAAAGTCTTTCCCTATAAAGGATTTACCAAAGTTAATTTCAGGGTTTTCTTTTAACCAACTCAGATTTACAAAGCTCTTCGACGTTACGATTTTCGATAAGCATACTCATGGAATATAACTAGTATTTAACGTTTTGTTTTCTGCCTTCTATAATTTTCATGGCGGGTTACTAAGCGAAATACAACCACAACGTTGCTGAGATATTTGCAAAACTCTGGACCGCAGGTGTCTATGGTGGGGAACCGATATGCCGATTTGCGCTCCCCAGATCAACCCCGCTGACGGGTGATTGCTGTGGCAAAAAGATCGATAGAAATAGCTTCGTTTCAGGCGAAACGAAGGACCCGCATGGTGTGGTGGTGAACGCGTTACTCCCCGGAAAGGATAATCGCGCGTTAGTTCCCCACCATAGACACCTGCGGTCCAGAGTTTTGCAAATATCAGCAACGTTGTGGTTGTATAACTAGTATTATTTATATTCTTTTGATACTGATCCTTCTCCTGCCGACCTTTTAGTGATTTTTAGTCTTGACTGGCTCTACGCTGCAATTTCCTATGAAACCAAATCTTTGATGAAAGAATTGATCAACGACTAGCCATTCCGTAGTGGGCAATTTTTTTCATTGGACTAGCAGCACATTATTAACGTCCACGCCAACCTCAGATCCATCGAGCACTATTCCGAAACCTCCGTTGATGACATCACCCCATCCGACACCGCCTCCATTGTGCAGGGACACCCACGTCGCGCCACGGAATGAGTCACCTAAACGATGAGTGTTCCTCAAAGCGAGAAAAAAGTGCGGAGTCGCGAAGATCGGATAATAGAGACCCAAACTCTAGCTCTGCACTTTGGACAATTGCGAAATCGAACACGCTGAGCGTTGTTTATCTTGTGCGTACTCCTCGTTAGCCCCTAGAGCGAAATGGTCGAAAAACGTTCTTCTCGGAAAAATAACAATTATGCACGGTGTCTCAGTAGACATACGATGTTATCATTGTTATTTTAAATCAATTATTATATTGCAAGACAGTTAAGGCACTGGTAAACGACTGCAAAATGTTGGATACTTCACGTTAGAAATTTTTTATTTCTGCATTTACTTGGAAGAGCACGTAGTTACAGGCCATGAGGTGAGAAACAGTGAAAATTCATACCGATTACATTCTGAACTGCCATGTCGGCCGTGAACGCACTGCCGTCGGTGATGTTAGATGTCTCACGAAATGGCGAGTCGGTTCCTGAGACGTCGTGGTGATCTCGCGCAATGACGATTGGAGCCTTCAAGAGGAAGAAAAACTTCTGGCTGTAAGTTAGCTATAGATGGGTAAGGTTTTGATTCTGGTGCGTTAAGACCTTCATGACTTGTATAGCATTCATTTGGATTAGGATCTCTCATAGATAAGTATATCGCGCTTTTCGAACTTGAAATTATTGAGCTTCTAAAGAGTGTCTGGACTCAGTTGATTGCTGAGAAGAAATGACAGTTCAAATTACACAGTTTTAGATCCTCCGGAAAGGGTAATTGTGGTTCTATCTGGCTCGAGGTCCAAGTTGTGCGAATGTCTCATCATCGTTGTGGTTAAATCATACAGTTCTTCCCGTTCTTTCGAAATTAGTTCATGATATTCATGCGTCCTGTAACGCCTACGCTGCCGACATATTATACTTCAAAGAAACCAAACTGAGTTTAAAGTGTTTTTAGTTGCAGCATTGCAGTCTCATGGATAATGACAAACCAATGTCGAAGTTTCCAAAATTTCTCTTCCACATGTCGTCCAATACGTAGCAAATATTTCATGGATTTTGTTAAAAATACTTCGAAACCCAATGTGATGTTATTATTGTTTTCAGTGTAGGCCAACGTACTTCGCAACCGATTCATTGCAAATGTCGGAGTTAATTTATACTGTGAGTCGTTTAGCAGTACTCAGTAATTGTGCATGTTGAGCACAAACATTCCATCTATTTTGCTGATTTGCACTGCCAAGATCATTCCCATCGACGAGCGGTTGCTGATGGCACCGATGGTAGCTAGGGTAAGAAATTGGCTGAGAGAAAACATGGTAATCGCGGGTTGGAATCTGGAATCAAGTCCAAGTTTTGCAAAAATCTCAGCATTTCTGTGGTAGTATTCCATTTATTGTTATGATCTTATTCAGCAATCGCGAGTTTTTTAAACAGCATACATTTACTTCCATAAAAACACAATACAATATAACTGACGTTTCGGCAGTATCGCCTTCTTCGGAGCCTGGAAGGGTATACTGATATACAATCTACTAGGCCTAGTAAAGTAAATGTATGTTTTTTATGGAAGTAAATGTATGCTGTTTAAAAACCTCGCGATTGCTGAACAAGAAAGGGACACATTCGTATTCCAATGCCGAGGTTAAGAGAAAGTCGATCCTGGGAACTGTTATAATCTTATTTCGACAATCTTTTTAATGAATTCAATTTTAGTATACAAGCCGTTTACTATTAGTTAACTTACAGACACTTTTCCACTTTTGACGGCGTTGTTAAAAGCCAGTGCGAGCGCGATTCGTCCTGCTTGATCAGAGTACAGAATTCTGGCTTGACTTCCTACAACAAGACGGTTCGCAGTTGCACCTTCAACCCACTTCTTGTTGTCCTGGTATTGTTGACGAACGTGATTGGGAACTGCAAAAGAACAGTTGTGTTGTGAACAATGTTCACGAGAAAGCGACGAAATACTTGGCCTTAAAGTTTGTCTAAGCCATCTCAACGAATTGACAAAATGTGGTGATGGCTTCCAGTAGGTCCACTTTCTTGGTGACTCAATGACCACTTTTTTGTGGATCTAATAATTATACGAGTCTAGCAGAATGCAAGAAAGGGTGTTGGAGTACGGCTAGCATAATCTATGCGTGTATCACCTACGTTCCCTGTTTTTTTTGATCATGGAATCGGACCTTCCTGTAAGGTCTCCGAACGTCGGGCAGAGATCATCACACATTGTGTTTAATATACCTGTAGCTTTTGTCCAATGGTTGTCACTAAGACGAAGAATCATCTGTTTGACCAATCTGATTTTTTACAACTTGGTATGCATGAAAGCTTTGTTCGTTACAGAGTAAGGGACCTCGGATTCTATTACACTTGCTTGATATGGGGTGCCTCTCCTCATGGCGTGTTCAGTAGCGCTGAACGATTTCTCATCATGAGTCCATAGTGCCCAGGGTTCAAGGACGTATATTAAGTAACGAAAATCGTGAAGTCGAAAAATTGGGCTCGAGCAGGATGTTCTCTACCCTCTTCATTGCAGAGCTGCACGCTCAATGGTTTTACAAGCTTCACAAGGCGCCCGTTTGCTCCTGCTAAGCTCTGAAGCTAATTCGCGAATTATCCTGACTTTCCGACTAATTTGTGCAGACCAACGCATATTTAAGGTTAATTTATTCTAAAACAACAATGATTTCTGATCTTCCTTCATTCTACCTAGATTTCCGGATGGAAATATCAAGGTTACTCCAAACTTCTTGCTTGGTGCTCGCCTTCTGCTATACAACAAAGTTCGATGAGTGGGGTGATAATCTTCTGTTGGCATTGGCAGGAAGCAAATAATCATATGCATGTATATATATCCATATATATATATATATATACATTTGTGTATATGAATGCATAATATGTATAAAAAATATATATATATATAAAATACACATACATATAACTCTGTATTCACTGCCCATTCTTTCTACTTCTGTTCAGCAAACAAAAGGTGTTACTTTACTTCTTTATTTACGTACAAGGTGACGTTTCAGCGGATTTCGTCTTCCTCAGAGCCTGGGAAGGTCAAGTTGACTACAATCTGCACGGTCAAACACCTCCATAACCAAACAGAGAAAATGCTGGACCAAAATATCAATCACATTGAACATAGAGTCTTTGCACACTCACCGCTTTCTATGAGTCTTCCACTAAATATGTCACGTGGAGACCAACCGGACAGAGTTCACACGGAATCGTATCGTGACCATCTCATCGAAATAACGGGCTTATATACAGCCCAATATCACGCGTGGTTATGAGGCATTCCTCCCTGGGGCTCATTTTCGGATTCTTGGAATTTATCCGGAATGCCTCTGGAGTTCTGCGCGCTAGTGTTCTGGATTCCTGCGCGAGGATCGTAACCCGTACTCCAAAATCTTCTCTGTTATGTCTCTGCGTCCTATGCATGCATAGTGGAGTATCTGGTTCACGTTTGCCGACTAGGTGTTCTTTTATACGGACGCAGAGTGGTGTACCCTTTTCACCAACGTATTCGTCACCGCATGCCTTACAAGAGATCAGATAGACTGTACCCGAACTCGTGCAATCACCGTCTTTACCATCTTTACCATTAGGGCAAATTATGTAATTTTGCGTTGCACATATACGGTCGTATAGGCGGTTACGAACTAGCTGGCGTTTTTGATTACTCGATGGCATTTCAATTACCGTTACCGAATTCTCTAGAGCGGCCCTTCTTAAACAGCGTTTTATAGCTGCACTTACTTCATTTGAAACGAAGGGCAGAATAAACGAGACCTTATTGTAGCCAGAGTTATCGTTGGTTTCCTCTACATCTTTCTCGAGCTACAGTTTCGCAGGCATTAAAAATGGCTATTTGCCGCGCCAAGTTCCGGGACTCCTCTCTCTGCTGTCTTCCTGTGCACACGCTGGCAGCGGTTCGAAACATGTTTCTCGCAAGCGCACTTTTTGTGTGAGAGGGATGAGAGGAGAGGTAATATTCTTACTGCTTGGCTTTCGATACCATTTTGTGTTGTAGCCGTTTTCGGATAGGTTAATTTGCACGTTCAGAAATGGAAGCCAGTTTTCTTTTGGTTTCTCTCGGGTGAATTTAATATGCTCTGTTCGTTCAACAACTCGAAACATCTGTCAATTTTTTTAGTGTTGAACAACCGACCAAACAGTCATCTATATATCTGCAGTAGAGCAACGGACCGAGGTCGATTACTGGCGCTTCCACCTTAGACATGAATGCAATGGCATGGCTTCGTGCCAATCCTTGTCCCATTGCCAACCCTCTCATTTGTGCGTAATACCTCCAAGACTATCTGAAGATTGAGCAGTTTGGGCACTCCTTTAAGAGTGTCATCAGCTGCCGAATCGAGAAGCCGCACATGTTTATTGCTCCTTCGCGTTGTATAAGGAGCTCGCGGATGGCTTGCATAACGGAGTCATTCGATACGTTCGTATAGAGGGCAATGACATCGAAAGACTCCACCACGCGCGCGCTGTTAGGTCGCGCGTTACGTAGACGATCCGGGAACATTTGGGTGTTCGTTAGATGAGCTGGAATTTACTTCAACTGAGTAAGTATTAGGGTTATTAACCACGTCATTCTATCCGTTGGCCCGTCCACGCAGCTAATGATAGGTCTATCCTTAAACAATGATAAATCGGTAGACGCAAAATCATCGCTGGATACTAACTTGTGGGTTTTGATAAGTACAAGACGGGACATGTTGGTAAGTCAATTTTGAGATGAGAGATAACTAATGGTTTTAACCCAGCCGCTCTTGGCATTTGAACCCATTCGTTGTTTAACTTTCGGTATTGACTTACTTTAGACTTTACTTCTTAGACGACGGACGATAAAGGGAATCATCTTCAAGGTGATTTTCCGTTATCTCAACTTCTAACTAATCGGGAATTACACCGAACTCCCCATCCTTATCACTAACCGATAGTCTTATATCTTTCGATCTTATCAGCTCTCGTACCTCCCGCATACCACGTTTTTGTATTTCAGTGACGTTGGACCAGTATCTCTTGGCGCCATAGTGATTAAGGACTTTGAAAGTTTCATTCGTAAACGTCCGAAGTTCAATGTCAACTTCATTATTGGGTTCTCGTTGTCTAAGGAACGGTTGAGAAAATGTTGGTACTGGTATTACCCCTACTTTTTGTTGTATGCGCCTATTTAGCGCCTCATCCCTTGCTTTTTGCGGAGTCCATCTTGAAGTTCATGTAAACTACATGCGACTCTATGCAAGATTACCTTAGAAATGGGTTCAGATGGTGAGAAACTCGATCCCAATTCTAATAACGAGCGCGCACCGTTAGGCAGAGTCATGCCTCCTAGCACGGTTAGCCTTGAATTTCTTTGCACATTATCCTACTGTGACTCGTTTGATCTTCGTTGACGGTGTTTCTGTGTGTTCTTGAAGCCGTTTTATGCGATTTACTCGAAAGCTCTTCGAATTTTCTCTGCAAAGTTACTTTAGACCTAATAGAGTTGCAAATCAACACTGACCCAACCACTATTCTCCTCCAGAGGCGGTCCTCAAAATACTGAGCACAATAGTTTTCTTACTTCTCGCGCTTCTTCCACTTGGTGAAGATTTGGTTTTGTTTGCTTTACTTGCAATTCGATGTCCAGTACTCGGTGGTTATCCTCTGGCAGTCCGCATACTTCGTGTAGTCGTTTTCTTTTCATGAATTTTGGAACGACTTAGTGTTTTATACAGAGGCGGAGAAAGTGTATCGCCTGTCGAGCTGAGACGATTTCTTGTCTTAGTGACAGTGCTTCTTTTACTAATTATTACTAATGAAGCAAGGAAATGTTTTTCTGGTAATTGTAATTTTTAGAAACTGGAGCACATTCAATCTAAATTTTCATAATTCCTTCTACTTCTGTTCAGCAAACACGAGGTGCTATTTTATTTCTTTATTTACGTACAAGCTGACGTTTCGACGTCTTCGCCTTCCTCAGAGCCTGGGAAGGTCAAGTTGACTACAATCTACACGGCCATACACCTCCTTAACCAAACAGAGGAAATGCTGAACCAAAATTTCATTCACATTGAACACAGAGTCTTTGCACACTCACCGCTTTCTATGAGTCTTCCACTAAATATGTGACGTGGAGACCAACCGCACAGAGTTCACACGGAATCGTATCGTGCCCATCTCATCAAAATAACAGGCTTATATACTGCTCAATATCACGCGTGGTAATGAGGAATTCCTCCCTGCGGTTCATTTTCGGATTCTTGGAAGTAATCCACAATGCCTCTAGAGTTTTGCGCGAAATTTATTTGTTAGGTTTTATCTGCTAGGGTTATGAAAGTGTTTGGCTGAGTAGATCGCATCTCAATTTAACTTTTCCAGGCTCTGAGGAAGGCGAAACCGCCGAAGCGTCAGCTGTTGTATCCTAATAAATTCTGTAATCCCAACCTCGTGTCTGCTTATTGAAGAAAAACATCGATAGCGATAATTGAAATACCACCGAATACTCTTCGTCGTCAATTAGTTCGTAACCGGCTACATGACCGTCTATGTGAAACACAAAGTTGCGTAGTTTGTCCTTACGGCAAGGACAATGATTGTATGAGTCCAGGTACGATATACCCGATTTTTTATAGTATCTGCGGAGATGAGTATATTGTCTAAACGGGCAGACGGGGATTATGTATAAAGTAAGGCAAGGTACTCCACTAGGAACGAATAGGACACAAAAGCATAGCGGAGACGATTTTGATATGAAAGCCCTTATGCTCTCACAAGATTTCAAAACACTAAAGCGCAAACTTCTCGAGGCTTTTTGGATAAATGCCAAAAATCCGGAAATGATAAGAATGCCCAGAGGTAACACGTGATCTTGCCGGTATATCAGAATTGCTTTTTGATGAGGGGTGGTGCACTCATCAGCCATATGCGACTTTAAGAGGCCGTTCTTCTTAGGTGGAGGGCAGGTAAAAGAATGGTGGGCTTCTCGAGAAACTGGGGATTGTGTAAATATCGTTTAGGTTTTCATGCTTTTGTTTGTGCTGTTGAAGTGTTTGACCTAGCAAGTTGCGTATTAGTGTACTCTACCATGCTCTGAAGAAGGCGATACTGCCGAACCGTCGCTACCGTTGTGTGTTGTGTGTGTTCTATGTGTACGATAGTAAACGTGCTCTGAATAGCAACCTCACGATTGCTGAAAAAGAGAACGACACGTTTTTCAACATTTCCTTTTTAAATTTCACACGAGCCGACATCACAAACTATGAGAATACCAGCATTTCTTGCATCCAGTTCGTTCTCTTGCATCGGTATTCCACGAAGGCCTTTGTATTTAGCGTTTGTATCTGGCTTCTCCATGAGGACTTTTGATTTTCTTTGTGCACGTCGTTGAATGCTTATCGAGTCGATCCAACCCAGAATCCGGAAACAGCCTTTATTGCGCGTTCGAAGATCCTCATCACAGGTGAGGGCGATCTTTCGTGGTTTGCAGGGATCCGGCCGAACCCAAAAGGTCTAGTACCAACTTTTAGGCCACAAAGGGTTGGAGGACATGCTTGGTCTGAAGCTGAGTCGAACCAGGACCCAAAACTAACAGAAAGGCTTCGCTTTCAACTGGTTTTGTTACCCAAAGAAAGAAATACTAGAAGTTATAGAAAGGTTTCATGGAGTCTTTTGTGATTCGAATCGAAAGCTTTTCCTGCAACATATGAAAACCAGAAGAATGTAGTTTTGAAGGTGAACGTCACACTAGGTCAACAAAGGTTTTTTCTCCATTCGCAAAGTGAAGTAACTTATTGAATCGAATGAAATTTGTCGCTGATGACTTTATTCTCTCGGTTCGACACCGTCGTTAATCTAACACTTTTTCTCAGACTCCTCTTGCGTTTTGTTCATTTGTCAAATTATGTGGGACAAACATATGTGGACAAAAAAATTGCATCTATACTTTTCAATACGTTGAATGAATAAATTAGCTCCAATGGTACATGGAAACTCTGAATCTTCTCCTCCCTTGAAAGACGTACGAGCTGAAACATGCACAAAAGTGCCAAACGGAGAAAGGAGTGCACAAGTGAAGCTCACTTTGTGAGTTGATGTCATAAGACCGATTTACAAGTGTAGCAGAGAGCAGGCGAATTTTGTTTGTATTGCTCAATACTTTCCGGTAATTTGTTGCTAAAAGGTAAAGCACTTGGCGTCAATCAAGACCTGAGGGACACGCCGTGTATTTGACCTCATTACGCTACAGGAGAATGAGTGCATATCTGGCCCACATAATGAGTCGCGGTGTCCTCGTGATGTATCAATTCGGTGCTGCTGTCCTCCTAAAGAAATCTGGAACTGTTTTGTGGACCTCAGAGAGGTAGAAGGATATCTGAGCCTAAGGTCGATCCTCTGTGTATTACAGAGCGCCTCTAACCACGGTGCTAAACGCGCCAGGGAATTATAATTATGAAGAAGTGGAAAAGTGTTCAACAATTTTTTTTAGAATTACCAGTTATCACCTCTAGTGTGCGGACTCCAAGGACTCTTGCATTCGATTCGTTCGCTATTGTTCCTCGGGAATTTCACCTTCTTTATGAATGTCGTGGTATGCTGGTATATCGATTCACCTTGGAAGCTTGAGGATACCGAGTTAGTGCGTTACAAGGTATAATGAGAGATAGCGCTGGTTTGGGGGCGAGCGAGAACCTTGCTTGCTGAAGGAATGCGTCACTAACCACTGCGCTATCTTCGTCTTCTGCACTTCTACAATTTGTTCAATTATTAGCACTTTATCAGTGTTACTACCGGAAGGCAACGATGAGGCACAGCATGGACTTGGAGAAGTTCTAAAAGATTCTAAAGTTCGTTGAAGCATTTTTGTTCATTTCTTCGAAGGATTAGTTAGGATTAAACAAAGACATACTGCTCCTTATCTATCTCCTTACGCCTGCGGTTTTCTTAGCTCAAGGTACATGTGTACACTCTTGGACACTAGAGCGATAAAAGAAATTGCCTGTGTTATTAAAATATGGGAAAAGGATACGCCGAACATTTGTGTCTTGGTGATGCATGCCATACAGGAGCTCATGAACTGCACATGCTAACGGGACATGTCAGTAGGTACCTATTTGACAGCCAGACTTTTTTACTACACATACGTTATTGGGCTCCTGGACAAAAATTAGGTGCTCTTTGTAGCCTTCTAAAGCGCAGTGAGGAGGACGGCAAGTGTACACCAACCTAGGTGTGTTTAAGGTCTTCTTTTCATTCTATTCGTTCCCATTGCCATATCCAAGAAGGAAAAAGTTAAAGCCAAAAAAGTATTGGAAACTGTGAAGAATACAAGCGCTACTACTAGTCAACAAACAATAACTGACTTTGAGCGGCAACTACAAAAGATTGTATCCTGGCTCGTAATATTTTTTCGATGTTCTTAAGATAGTTGTCGAAACGGGCAACTTTAATCTACTCGTTTTGTACTAACCATCTTTACATCCACAATGCAGGTCCTACTACTTGTATTAGATTCGTTTCGTCGCATCTACAAAGGCCTTCGAACTTTTTGCGTGTGAGTTCGGCTGACACTTGAGGGTTTTCCTTTAATTACGAATGTTGCTGAATGCTGCTAAGTAGGTTCTCATTGAAGTACTAGATTAGTCGAGTTAGAGCACTCCAACTTGGAGTGCAAGGAATGACATTTTGCCAGACAAGTTCGGTACCAGCTTTTCGACCCTGGAAGGATGAGAAGCTTAGTGAGCTTGAACAGGATCGAACAGGTAGAGTTTAAGGAAAATGCAGTTTTTTGAAATTTTTTATGTCTTACACCGTAAAAATGGCAAAATTTATACCAGGCCGTCAAAATACAATGCGCCTATGAAGAACTATTGAATTGTAGCGGCTGTTCTCCCATGAGGTGAGAAAGCACTGTCCTTTCTGAGAGCAAAACCATAAGTGAATCACTGCGTAGAATAGTTGGCACCCGTTACAGAAGCCTGTTCACATGACTGGTAAACACTGCTTGATTCTTCCAATGAAGGCCTGCATCAAGACTCCTATAAATGATCGCTTTCAGTTGGAATAATACCATCCTAAGGAGGAATATTATGTTAAGGACAACATATTTCATGAGCACGGAGTGTCATTTATCCAGGTATGCATTTATTAACGTTAACGCAACAAAAAAAGATATACGTAAGCTCCATTTTGAGAATATCCAATTTATATACAGGACCATGAAAGGCAAGAACGCAATTAAGACTACGTGGAGAACACGTTCTCATGAAGTTAACACAAACGCAGGCGATACTCGTGACTGAGACCGTAAAATGAACAAGATCGCCGGACACTTGAGCTTCGCGCGGTTGGAATTGTGTAATCAGCATATATCATAGCTGGACGCCTTGAACTGCAGCCATATATTTGAGTCGTTCCAATTCCATAAGCACTCTTTGAAGTTCCGCTTTTAGGCGAATATTATCCTGAAAGAGTGTTTTCAGACAGTGTATCCTTTCTGAAAGACTGAATTTTCATTCGGAATTACAATCCCAGCTCTCAAAAATCAGTGGCATGCGGCTTCACCATGGCTGGGCACTGTTCCTGGATGACGAACTAAGCTTTAAAGAACGGAGTTTATTAACCCATCGGTGTCCCTCAAACTAAAGAACTCGACATTTCCATCCGATCCAGCTAAAAGTAAACCAACATCAGCAGTTACTGGTAGAGAGGTAAGTCACCCATCGTAATTGCTTATTGTGAAAACCTAAGAAAGTCCTAGATGGGTTGTTTCGCGAGTCCTGTGAAGCAAAATACGGCCTTAACATCAGGAAATCATTCTCACTAACCAACACGTGGTGGTCCAGCCAATAATGTAGTGTCGATGAACAACAGACGGGTGAAGGGCAACAGACAGTCAGATGCCCGGAAGTTATTAAAAACCAATAAAATGTACGCGTTTAATATATAACATGGAGACTGTCTCTTGCTCTGGATCTATAATATCAGAACTTTGAGGCTGTCAGTCGCATCATGTGGTCGTCCTAGAAAAGATGGAAGCAGGAATGAAACATGCTAATCACATAATGAGACCTCCGTAATCGTGAAGAAAAAGAATAAATCTCGTGATTATTCTCAACCTTCGTTTCCCCTGTCAAAGGGATACCAGTACCGCCAACTGCTATTCATCAATAGTTTAGACTAAGAGCGATTAGGTACGCTCTATAGTCAGTTGCAAGAAGTAAAAGTTTTGTAAACTCGCTTTTAGAGGTTTCAATGCCACATGATAAAGGAAGACCGGAAACGGAAACAAGAATGGAAAGTTTGGAATAGGAGACCAAAGTTAAATTGGAACCATCTGGACTCGCGCTCACAGCACTTTCCACGGAAGTTCATTTTCCAGAAAAAAGAAAGCAGCTAATGGATATGCAGTATCCTGTCAACACGGAGATCGATTACGTATTTTTGAACAAAAGATTTTCTTCATTTACATCTTCGTGGTGCCATGATTCTGTGTTGGATTTGATCATCGCCTTCACCGTGTATTTATTTGATTGAGCTATGAATTCTAAAATAACTCTTATCACAGCCTGAAAAAAACCAAATTGTAGGAGAGTAACAGAGAGTGTAATGTAACATTTCTAACGAACTCCTGGTCTCAGATGATTAACAAAACAAGGACGGCTCGACCGAAAACTACGAGCTGCTTGCCGAAGAATTTAGAGCTTGCGCCGAATTAGCCTCAATTCCCCAAAGAAGAGGTTCAGACCACAATGCTATCGCCACTGAGGAATCAGTTCAAGAGAGAAGAAAGCTGAAGCTTAATTCTTCTGTAGCTCTTCTATCGCAGCCAACCATATGTGTCTGCAAAAGATCCTTAGAGGTTAATTTGTACCAGTACAAGCAGAAAAAACAGTTGGACGTAGTGCAAAAAAGGTAGTAGTCCGAAGATAGTCCGAGGGACCTCTGAGAGTATAATGCCCTTCCGAACGCCCTGATTAACGAGCATGGAATTACTACCACCTATCACCATGGAATTGTTTCATTGAATTATCACCATGACACAGATTTGGTGATGAAGAAGTTCTAGAACAACCTTTTCCATTCGACAAGCCCCAAACCGGAGACTATAATCTTCGCTGGAGAATTACATCTTGCTTTAAGAAGGAGAAAATCCCAGACCAGTGGAAGAGGTGGAAGAGCTTGTGCACGGTCATCCTGCACAGGTAGACTAGCCGGCTGTGTATCTTTAAGCACTGCTCAGCTTATTGAGTGTGCTCTACAAATTCTTTACAATGGTTATCCCATCGCCCGTATCAAGAGCTTCCTAGGAAACCCAACACGTTTAACAGGTATGAATCCGAGAAATATCGTTCTACAAAAACCACATCTAAATCGCATCGAGAATAATAGATGTTTGTTGGAAATTTCATCTGACCCTCGTATTCCGTTTTAGCTTTTTCGACTGTGAAATGGCTTTCAACAACCATATATTATCAGCTCTTTACATAAGAGTCCAAGCTGACTGTTATTGCAACTGCGTCAAGAAAAGGCAGATTTTCTGTTAACCTCTAACATTCTATAACGAAAAGGGTGCGAAAAGGAGACACCATCTCGCCAAAGTTGTTTACTGCCTTGCTGCTTTTCTTAATGAAGTCGCCCAACTGGAATAAGAAGAGCATACCCGTTGACTGTAAAATCTTGTCAAGCCTTCGTTTTGTTGTCGGGTCAGAATCTACTAGTGAATTGAAGACACCACTCAAATATTTTAGCAAAATCGAGAAAAGGCTAAGAATGGGAAGAAATCGGAATAAAACACAGTTCATGAAGACCCCATGGTAGAAGGGTTAAGAAATCAAACTGATTAGTGCATTTTGTGATTAACAAAGAGGAATTGTATCGAACAGGGGCAGCAACATGTACCTCGTTCGAGTTTCTCAGAGAAACCACTAACTGACGAACGGAGCCGAAACTTCACGCTGAAATTTTCGGTTCAAATGTTTTCCCAGAACTGTGCTGTACAGCAGAGATGTGGGTTGATGCTTCAACAATTTTGAAAATTTTGCACAGCACCGACTGAGCGTGTGAATGAGATCTTCTGAAACGTAAGCGATACATACAAGTTATGAGGAAAATGAGCAGTTGGGAGCTCCTAAAACTGTCTCGTCTTCAAGATCTTGGGAATACACGTTGACAGCAAAATATAGATTGGTCGCTCACATAATGAGAAAAGCCGACGACATATAGTTTAAAAAAAGCTGGGTAGTGGATTCAAAAGGATGCATGCGCCCTCATGGATGACAACCTATGAGAAGGGTGGACTGCTCTCGTTCAATCAGCTGCCTCGGTAGTTGAAAAGGATCTACCACGCAATTGTCCTCGTGGACGTCACCGCTCTCTAAGCAGCACTGCACGTCTAAGAACGATTGCGCGATAAAGATGGGAATGGGAAGTATGTCGGAGCTCGCACCACCTGCGGTGGCGAGCCATCCAAAAATCCAAGTGGTATTTTGCTAAAGTTCCAATGTCATTCTGTGCAATCCGAGATTTTATCACCTGTAACCGACTGTCTCACTACCCGGCGTCGTTTGCGGCAGGTACCGAATGGGCTACTGGTGGTGATTTGCTCCTGGCCGGCCTGTTTTTTTTGTTTCATTGAAGTCCCGAAGCAGCGTATATGGACCTTTCTGAGGTCGTCACCAAAAACGCTAGTTGCCTTTGAAAATCCGAGGATCGCAGCAAGGGTAGCAACGATTCCCGTTCACTACTAGCTAGACGTTAAAAATGTCAATCTTTTCCTTAGTTTTAGAGACTGTACTATGTGGGTAACTTTCGTGGTGGACATTCCAGCGTGACACCCAGGAACATACCCCAGCCACGATGAGGCAGAATACTATTGAAGGTTAAGTACGCTTAGAGGCAGCAAAGTATGTATGATGAAATAATTACAGACCCAACATGACAGAGTTAATAATCTAACCTAAATCGTGCTTCTATTGAAAACGGAAAGCATTATTTTTAGAGTAGATAGTTCGGTCAAATATTGCTTTCTATGTTGAGTGATTATAACTTGTTTCGACTTTCGACCACTGAGAAGTTTTAGTCAAAGAAAGACACCCTTTTGTAGTACTCCTATAGGGAAAGGTGCGAAATTCAGTAATATGTGCGCAACATAGAGCTTACGGTGCTGTTGAGTTTTTTGATTTGAAAGCTAGTTAACGAACAAACCGCTGCCTTGCCATTTTTAGTTTTTTTTCGGTTTATAGGGCCAGATAGTCTACTCTGGGTTAATGATGGGTTTAACTAGCTTTAGCATGGACTCAGACCTGCGATTGTGATCGCTGTCCTTCCTCGCAGTTCCTCAACAACTGAACCGATACTAAGACTAAATTTGGGAAGAAAAATCTGTACAGTTGTACGTTTGTTTTTCTACGCGCACTGTGTGAGGTGGAACCCTGTCGCACCTGTTGCACCAATTCGAGCTTCCTGAAGTTCACGTCCTCCTTCTGCCGTCGCGCCTCCCTCGATCGTCTGGCGGACTCGTTGTTGCGCTTTCGACGCTCATAATAAGCCTAGACTATATGCCTATGAAGTTCTCACTGGACTTATTATGGCAAATAATGATAAAAAATAGCTTTGAGATTTCGAATGCATAGCTTTCTAGATACGTAATCAAAAGCATTATTTTTTAGTGACGTATTGAAAAGTGTTATGCTTAGACTTAGTGGGTCCGTTAAGAACTGAGTTAAAGAAAACAAGGGATTCCCTCTTTAACGTCTTTGGAAATTCACCCTCTACTTCACATAATTTACTCGTAATGGCTATCTGGCCATGCACCTTAATGGTACGTAAATCTGAGATAATGGTAAGCAATTATCAAAAGCAATAAATAAAAAGGATAAAACTCTTGGCGTTGATCAATCCCTGAGGAATGCGCCATGCATTCGACTTCATTAAGCATCGTTTGGAGGTGATTGAATGCATATCTGGTCTTTACAATGACTCGCGGTGGCCTACCGATGTATCGAGCCAGTGTTGCTATCCTCCCCTACAAGTCTGGTACCAATTTGCCGACGCCGCAGGGATGGAAGGCTTGATGGGCCGTGAGCACGGGGATCGATTCCATGTGTGTATTGCAGTGCGCCTCCGACCACTGGGCCATCAAAAACAATATATCGTACAATTTTTTTTATGACTTGTTTTTTTATTTAGACGCCTGCTTTATTTTTTGACTGAAAATCAATTATTTTCAGCAGCTTTTGAGTAGATAATGGGCTCATCTGAGTTGATATCTGTGTCTGACATAGACGGCGAAAAAGAAAGCTTCGAACGTTCACGCGGCAACTTTGATATTTAAAATGGATCTGTTAGCGAGTGCTGTACTGAAGCTTGCTGAAATAAACACATTTCACCTCATCTTTCAGCTCAACAGGTACTGGATTCGGCTTCTTCTTGGGAGCAGAGGGCGCTTCCTTCATCGTTTGTGTGATCGAGGAAAGCTGCTGGGCGAAGTTGGCAAACGGATGTGGGAGGCTTGTCGACTGCTGCAATGAACTTTGGATTGTTGGCGCAAACCTGTGGGTAGAGTACAAATCCTGGCAAAGTGGTACTTGTAAGCGCTCCGTGGAATGCGGTACAAACTGGAGGATTTGTTCTTATGGGAGTGTTCTGCAGAAAAACTAGGAGTTGTAGTAATCTTTCAGCATGTTTAGTACTGATGTTGAATAGCTGTTTGAATATCGTACATTGAAAGGCGATGTAACTTTCTGTGATGGCTCATAAATAACGGTCAAGCTGCAAAAATCATGGTTCTGTACTTCAGAGGTCAGCTTACAATAGAGAGCAGTTACAAACAAAGTGACGCATTTTATAGATTCGAAGACCTGAGATAGAGCAACAAGGTATTGTAGCGCTCGCGGTGGATGTAGCGCAGTGGTTAGTGAGTGATGCCAGTGGGCCATCAGAAATGGCTCTGCTTCGTATTCCTACTCAACATTCTCTGCCAATCTGTGTAGAAACGCATTGGCTTCGTTATTTCCAGGATTGAAAGAACAATCGACTCAATCAGCATTCTACTATATTAGTAAAGAAAATGGAATCCTCATGCCGCAGCTGAACCAATACGCGAAATGTCGAAAGACCTTTGTGAAAGATGAATGCGAAGAAACTGAATCGAATGCAAGCGCTGTAACCCACACTGTAGATGTTATGGTAGACCAGGCAAATAAATAAATATGGCGAATTAGAAACCGTTGTCATTTGTCTAACTGGATAAGCAGATCGGAATCAATCGTTCTCCGCTTCCTTTCTAAGCGTTACAAGTTTTTCTATTGTTTGTAAAATCTGTACCCTCAACTGACGTTTGTGAATGCGAAAAAATGAACCTAACTTCATTACAAAAGTAGAAATTCTTGAAGTGAATGAAAACAATCTTGGAAAGAAAATAGCGAAAAAGCCTAAGAGAAGACTGCAGTCAGACGTATTGGAATGGAGGCTCAAATGATATTAATCGGTTCATTACAAAAGTCCTATTTCTGCTGTTTGACTGCACTTCGTCATAGTTAGCACTGACCGGAACGTCCTTCATAGTGTATCCTTGCTGATACTGATCCATTTGCCACATTTGACTCATTGCTTTGAAGGCGTTCTGTTGCGTCGTTGCATCGTAAAAACCTCCCATTTGATGTATGTCGGACGACATCTTCACCTGGGTGTTTACCTTAAAATATTAGATTAACGAGATATAAAGGAACTAGGATGTCGAAAGTTGTAAAATTAATATGGGCATGAAAAGTGAATGGAATACGCCGAGATACGGTAGTCGTTAGGAAGTCCGGTCGAGCATGTGTGCCGTTAGAAAGTCGAAGACGTTTTATAGCCAGAAATTCCGAAAAATCAGGTTACTTTGAAGTTTTAGCTAAATCATAGTGGGTAGGATAGCAAAGGGATAACATAGTAAGAATTAACGCTGTTTTTAGACAATTTCACAGTTGGTAATAACAGAATAACCTTGGAAGAACAACATTTGATGCTAGAGCTGTAGAAAAACTGGGAAGCAGAAATTAATACGATTGAGCTACGGTATCGCTCTGGACTGCCGCTGGAGGTTTTAGCAGGTTGTGAGAGATGGTGGTTATGTGGTGGTGATGGTGGCAGGCTGCGTGACCCGATGTGAAGGCGGTCGTCTTTGGTGGCAGGGTTACGTCACCCGGCGGGCATTGCCCACCAGAAAACAACTAAAAGACATAAAGAGATAAGCGAATGAGGACACTTCGTTGCGCCACAGTCTAGTAAGGCAACGCCACGACTCTTCAAGAGAAATGAGGTGCGAATGCTACGTGTTTTGAAAACGCAACTCAATTAACATCACAGCACCTGTTTATTCCTAAGGAGGATGGTGCATTATGCCTTGAAGGAAATCTATCTCCACGTCTCCCATATTAGAAGAAGCACCAGAGTCGCATATCCCTAAGCAAGGTCACTAAATTAAACCTGAGGGTTATAACAACCGCAGCAAAGTAAACATGAGAGCTTTCGACATAACACTCACTAGTAAGTGGCCGAAAAATCCCACTACATTACGCTTCATCCATTCCTATTTACAACCGAATCCGTTGCGGTTACCCATTGCTTGCAAAATTTATAGCAACAGAGGGTACTTCTAAGCCACATATTAGAGAAAGCACGAACATTCTGCGTATCCTTACGAAATGACCTCTGCGCAGTGAACAATCGTGGTTCATTGCTAAGAGGACTTGTATTGTTTTGGCACTACTTTGATAGATAATCGTTATGCACAATGTTTACGATTGTTATTGGGATTATTGCTGGGATGTTGAAGGGTTACAGTTTCACGCCTGTTTGCTTAGTTCCCAGTAGTCTTTGGTTCGTTCCGTATTCCAGTGCTGTTGTCTAATGGATAAAATCTGTCTTCGGCAAGCAATTGTCTGTTTCGTTTCTTGATTTTATGACAGACATTCACTCCTTCAGCACGCGTATTGCGCAGTTATTAGAGGTGTGATATACTGCTATGCACACACGGTTTTTGATTTGATGTCCTGACAAAGCAAAACATGCTCGTTGTCCAACCGGGGTAGACGAACTGGTACCGTACTAGACTAGAAGGACAAAATACAAACTTAGCACATCGGTAGGTTCTCACAAGCATTGCCTAACATACCTCTACGATGGTTGATGATGGCAATTGCATGTCGCTTCCTTAGGGATAGATCAACACCGAACACTTTTACTTTTTATTTAGTTCTACCAGACACCGTTGAAAAACGAACAAAGACTCACTGACCTTCAGTGTGTCATGTTCGCTATGATATTTCAAATAATCTTTCGACCAAGATAAATGCTGGAAAGCCATATTTTTTCAATTATTCAGAGCAGGTTCCCCTAAACTTCCCTTCTGGCGGGCTTGCGGCCACTAACGTGCTTTTAGTAGCGGTTTATTCTCTTTCATAGCCCGCATTTACAACATTCCACTACTCTAATGAGCTTCATATTTACAGCCTTGTAAATAGTTTGCGGTAGGATTAAAGACCAATTAGTAACCCTATAGTGGGATGTTATAGGGAGACTGGAATAATGGCTACCCTTTAATACTGTCGAAAAGCACACTCTTCCTTACATAATAACTGAGGAATTAAACGAAAAGTGACAAATATACATAGGGTCAATAAATAAGGAAGATTTTTTCCGCCCTAACTTTAAAGTGGTCCTGATCAAACTAAGTTGCACCAAAGAAAGTCGTCTTTTGCCTAATAGTTGTTTTTTTTGCTTTTTTTTACTTTCTTTCCTCTCTCAGTCACCAACAAGAATTGGGAGCGCTAGTGAACAGAAACGTACGTACATTTCTCTCCTGGTGTCGAGACGGGTCAGTCCACCGAAGAGTAGCTTTAGAGGATCTCCTTGAGAGCGTTTGTTCACTGTGAATTTTTTCGCGTACTACCTTTCAGATTAGCTTTATCATCTGTCAGTGGTCGAAGAGGTAAACGGGTGTTGATGCCGTGTTTCGATTATGGCCGATTACCTTTTGCTTTTGTTCTAATAGTTCAGTGTAGAATAAATGTTTTTCAGCCAAAGTGAAAGATTTCTAAAAAGAACCTCGCTTCAGTACTGTGCCGATTCGGCTGCAATTTCGGACTTGTAGTATCTCTTGCGTCTTACCATTCCAAACAAAGAACGCCTAGTTCTAGTCCAGTCTTTAAACGAATCCATTAGAATTTCCGTTTAGAAATCAAACACATTTAGAGCATAAGGTGATAAACGATGTCCCATTGCGAAAGAGAAATCGACCAAAAAAGCGGTTCCTAATTTCAATGTGGTCAAGCACCAATATCAATATCGAACCCGTAACTGCGTTGGAAAGATTTCAAAGCATATTTTTCAACGATTCTGAGATAGACACAGGTAAAAATTTAGAATAGTCTTAAAAATCACGTGCTCTGCCCTATCTGAGTTCAAATTTCGCGAAAGGGTTCCGGTAAGAAGAGGACGTGTTCGAGTTATTTGCTCGCTAGCTATCACCCAGATGTCGGCTTCATCGGCCCGCTCAGATCTTGTGGTTGCGCAAGCCCTTCTGTCCAAGGATCATGCTCTCAGAAGACTCTAAGTGTTCGCCAACATATTATTGCTGCCTACGTTGATGCTCCTTATTCCTCGGATATGGTGGCTTTTTCTGGGACATAGAAGATGGAAATTTCCTCTACCGCTTTATAGGTTTTATTACCGTATTTGCTTTATGGCCTTTATTTTCCTCTTTGAGAAACTAATTTGTTAAACTTCATGGGTATTTATCGACAATAGAAAGCGATGGGATAAATTTTCACTGGTCTTTTTGAAGAAAAGAAACTGTAGAAACTGAGCTGGAAATAAAGATCATTCGCATCAGAAACTCAATTCTCTAAGTATTTCGTAGTCGCCAGAAGAAAAAGAGTTGTTCGTTACAGGAAGAAGCTTGGATTCACAAAAAAAAAGTTGCATTTGCTAACTGAAACAGCTGATGAAGATTTGCTCATGAACGTAGCCCTGGATAAGAACAACTGCAGAAATCGAATCGCAAAGGAAAAATTAATAACGTCTAATTTGTTGACTCTACAGATGGATGCCAGCAACAAGAGGCAAAAAAAACTTGAAGGGTCATTTCTAGTTTTTTTTCACAAAATAGTAGTCATTTCGTCCGGAAGTCTGTGTCATTTAGTAGGCTTTATGTTTTAGATTATTTCATTTGTTATGACTATTCACCCATAAACCTCTTTTCTTAAGGTCATTAACCAAGCCATTGGACTGAAACGTGGTGATTTTGATAATAGCGGCTTAGCTTGAAAAAGGAGGTTTTTTGCATCTAAAAGCTTTTGAGCCGGTTAATGGAGATGCTACTTGGACGACACCAGGTGACGGATTGGCCAAAAGCGACCATTCAATTAACCCGAGACACAAGCGGACTTGAGGGATTGGCTTCTTGTCTCTGCTATTCAGGGTTGACTTTTACTTATACACGTATTCTTTTATTCACGAGAGTACTGCGAACTTGTTAATTACATAACTGTCTATCGATTACATCAAAAAAATGCAGTGAGGTAATATTGAAGTATAAAGCAGTGGTTTGAAGTTGTCTTCAGCATATTGGGAACCACGGACTGGAGGTGCCGAAACGTACTCAGAGCCTGTATGAGTTCGTCATGGTTGTGGACTCCGTTGTTATGACTTAGAATTTTTGAGGCTTGAAATAGGTATGGGGAAGTAAAATAAGCGTGAAGAAGCTTTGGATGTAGTGTGGAGTGTAGATTCGTCTTTCCTGGCAATCCGTTAAGACTTGATGAAACTACGTGCATTTCACATAACAACTGTTTTTCTGTAAAGCTAGTGGATGAGATAACCATAAGCTAAATTGGCAATAACAGATTTATTTCCTTGCTTTTTTTTATATATCTGTAGAAAATATTTCTTTATCTGCATTCGTCTCGTTGCGTGCGAAAGTAACCCAGTCGTTCTTGCTCATTTCTAGCTAGAACACGGAGAACAGTCTTTTTGAGGTCTTCTGTTTCCAAAGCTTTGACGAAAAGATATTAATGAGTAGTTTGCTGAGCTATGTCATAGACGGTACTGACAAATAAGTTGTCAAACTGAACAAAAGGTAGAAAGTAAAATGGAGTAAACAAATGGTTACCTGCCAACGCTTTACCGCCTCATCGTGGCTGGGAGGTGTGCCTGGGTGTCAGCCTGCGATGTAAAACGAGGGAATTCATTCCGCTGGCAGGGTCTCCCAAACTGAGAAGGGTCCGGCGCTTCCATCAGGAAGCTCAGCTAAGTGTAAACCAATACCGGGATCCACGATCGTCCTAGCACCAAACTTGTCGCATAGTGGCAAATCTCCCTCTGATCTACAACGGCGGCGACTGCCTGTGGTGGTGACGACCTTGGCAGACTTTGGCCTGGCTGATCCCGGAAGTCCAGGTCCAGGAAACCACAATGGCTAAACCAGCAAAACTCCGAAAAAATAGAGATTATACTGGGGCCGCACAACCAGCGAGCACGTGCCATCCAAGTATCCAAGTATGTAAGTAGACAAATAGCTCAGTTGTGGGAGAAGAGTCATTTCGTCGTAGCTAACGGCGACTCCCATATGCTTCCTGGTTACTTGAATGCATGTGCTGGACAGAAATGATAGCTTATTGTTCGCCTGCAGCAGCCAGCATCCATACATGTAGGTATGGATACAAACACGCAAGACGAACAGTGGCATTCATGTTCGCTTCAGTAGTGGAATTAACTTTTGATCAGGTTCTAATCACTTATTCGCCATCCGGCAACGTACTATCTAGTCTTAGGATTACGCGGCTCGAAATTCCACTTAGTTAGCCCATGTGTGATGTGAGAATTTTGAAAACCACTTCAAAACTTCAGATTTTCATGCAGATATACAGTTCTTGTGCTCACTTGAAGCAAAACGAACGGCAACGTCGACCCTAGATCGTTTTATCGGCGTATAGAAACCAGTTTTTCTAGAAATTTTTAAACTCCTGGACATGGTGGATGGTCCGAGCCCGACGATGTAACACTGTGTAGCGAAAAGAATTGAGTGAACGACTTAACTAGTTACATAGTTAATAACGCCTCAAACAACAACATCAATTCTGTATCAAGAGTGACTAGGTGGTACAGCAATACGTTTTAAGGTAGTTGAAAGAGCATCGCTTCTCACAGCACTCGTCAGCGATGCCGGTGCGTTTCGTTGCCAAGTGCAGGCTGTACATCTGCGGTTGCATCCACGGCAATGACCCTGAAAGAATCTTATGTATTTATTTAAATTTATCCAAATACATGCTAAGAATATGTTTACCAGCACACGATTAGACGAGAAACAGTATTGAGTAGCTAAATACATTTCAAGGACAGACAGCGCAGTGGTATTTACACCGCTCATCATGCAAAGGTCGACTTAAACAGATACTGGTTCAAACCAATCTCGCATCTGGCAAATCTTCCAAATCTTGTGGGGTTGGCAAATTGTTACCGGACTTGTATGGGAGTGGCTCGCTATCTTTAATCAATACGGAAACACCTTTAACACTGCTACCCATTAAACGAAAGAGAATCAACTCGACCAGCATTCAATGAAGGAGAACAGAAATGCTCAAGCGGCAATGAACTCACAGCCAAAAGTTCGAAAATCTTCGTAGATGACGGATAGGAAGAAGCACATAGGAGGAGGGGAGAAGAAGTGCTAGTATTCGCGCAATATCACTGAGGAGAGTTTTACAATCGCCCACTTATCAATAAGAAAATCTGTACAGCTACTGGAGTAAAAGTCGATTCCAGAAGCACTTAGACACGTGACGCCTTTCTACGAAACTTCGTTAAACAAAAAAAAAATCGTTTTTCTTCAGATTTGGAGTGGCTGGATTAAGACAGGATGCAGCCAATTATTTTTCAGTACAGGTCCTTTTATTTTAGTAATCAGTGCAAAAATGTGCTCATTGGAAGAGATGTGGAGAGAAGATATTTCTGTGTGCATTTTCTTCGGGACCTAGAAGGCTATGAAATCTTCTTAAATGGAAATAACACATGGATATTCCACGGCAGTTCTTAAAAACAATTAACTCTAATTTACAATGTGGTCGATGTAAAAAGTGCACCAGGCAATTTTGGCTTCAGTTCTGACTCGAATGTTCAGTTCTCATCACCCTCACCTCAATTGTAGCCAAAAATTGAGGTTCATTCTAGATTTACAGAATTCGAATACCCAGAAAAATAGTAACTGCTGCTTGAAGTCATATATTTAGCAACGATTTCCTCACAACTACACATCCCACTAAAAGTCTCACCTATTGATGTAACTATTTAATAATGCTCATTGCAGAATAATGGATCAAAACATATCGGTTCTTCTAGGGAAACAATTCGTTGTAGCAGGCATCGCTTGGCTCACTAAATAAGGGATAAGATGCGCAGCGTTGAAAGATCCCATAGATCTACGTCAATTAATCGACATCAATAAGTCACCATAACCGTATTTAAATGTGTAATTGAACGTATTTGGCGATGTGTCACGTCAGTGTCTTTATCTTCTCGATCAAGTCTAGCAAAAAATTGCCAACCGTGGAAAGAAGGAGGGCTTGGAAGCCCGGGAACGGGATCGAACCAAAGATACGCATTGTAGGGGCCCGCTGACTCTACGCTATAGTGGCGTTGTAGTGGCAGCTATACAGCGCTATTTTTACTCACACGTTAACATCAAAACCGGTGATTTTAAGCCGTCATCAAAAGCAGAGTTCTGGTTACCATGATGCTGAGATATTCGCGAAACTAGGACCTCAAGTCAGATCGAACCAAGATTATCCTTACCGGGGCTCACGTATTACACACTGCATTAGGTCGTCGCTTTGCGTTTCGCTCAGCTAGTTTCCTGAGAATTACAGCTTCGGCTTAACTGGGTCCATTGCTGATTTGTGCTCTTCAGACCAATCGCATTGACGGGTGATTGTTAATGGCAGCGTTAGATAGAAAACTAGCTGAGACAAACGCAAATCTATGGCTCCATGGTGCAGTGTGCAATATGCGACCCTCCGGAAAGGGTAGTCGTGGTTCGATCTGGCCCGGAGACCAAATTTTGAAAATATCTCAACACCATACATTTACTTCCATAGAAAAACACAATACAATACAACGCTAGCTGACGTTTCGGCAGTATCGCCTTCTTCAGAGCCTGGAAGGGTATGCTGATATACAATCTACTAGGCCAAACGCTTCAATAACACTTACAAAAAAACCAAAAACTCTCTGGTAATTACGTGATCAACAACTCGAAAAAACCCACCGCTTTTTCGTGACTTCCAATGAGGAAGTTTAGAACAGCTGATTATAGTCGCATGTGGTTGACGACTGCACCATCCCACATCAAAAATAGATGCGAACATACGGGGTCAGGTCGCGTATGACCTCCAGACATTCGTCCCTGCTATTTATATTGCCTTTTATAAGCGATGAAGTAAGCTTAGCTATAAAACGATGCTTAAGAAGGGCAAGGCTAGAGGAATCGGTAGCGATAGTTGAAATACCACCGGATACTCTACGTCGCCAATTAGTTCGCAACCGCCTGTACGACCGTCTGTGTGAAACAACAAATTGCGTAATTTGCCCATACGGCAGGGACGGTGATTGCATGAGTTCAGGTACGATATACCTGATCTCTTGTAATAATTGCGGAGATGAATATATTGGCGAAACGGGCAGACCTTTGTGTATCCGTATAAAAGAACACCTAGATGGCAAACGAAAACTAAGACGAAGCACCCCACTAGGCACGCATAGGATACAAAAGCATAGCGGAGACAATTTTGAAGTAAAAGTCAATATCCTTGCACAGGAGTCCAATCCCCAGCGCGAAAACTCCTTGAGGCTTTTTGGATCAATGCCAAAAACCCTATAATGAATAGCAGGGATGAATGCCCAGAGGTTATACGCGACCTGACCCCGTATGTTCGAATCGATTTTTGATGTGGGATGGTGCAGTCGTCAACCACATGCGACTATAATCAGCTGTTCTAAACTTCCTCATTGGAAGTCACGAAAAAGCGGTGGGTGGGTTTTTCGAGAAGTTGTTGATCGTGTAATTACCAAAGAGTCCTTCGTCTTTGTGTAAGTGTTATTGAAGCGTTTGGCCTAGTAGATTGTATATCAGTATACCCTTCCAGGCTCCGAAGAAGGCGATACTGCCGAAACGTCAGCTAACGTTGTATTGTATTGTGTTTTTCTATGGAAGTAAATGTATGCTGTTGAGGTATTTCCAAAATTTGGACTCCGGGCCAGATCGAACCACGACTACCCTTTCCGGAGGGTCGCATATTGCACACTGCACCATGGAGCCATGGATTTGCGTTTGTCTCAGCTAGTTTTCTATCTAACGCTGCCATTAACAATGTGTTGTATTGTGTTTCTCTATGGAAGTAAATGTATGCTCCCACCGGACACTCTAAGACGCTAGCTAGTTCGCAACCGCCTGTACGACCGTCTATGTACAACAAAAAACTGCATAATTTGCCCAAATGGTAGAGACGGTGATTGCATGAGTTCGGGTACAGTCTATCTGATCTCTTGTAAAGCGTGCGGGCACGAATATGTTGGCGAAACGGGTAGACCGCTCTGCGTCCGCATAAAAGAACACCTAGTCGGTAAATCTAAACTAAAACAAAATACTCCACTAGGCGCGCATAGGATGCAAGAACACAACGGAGAAGATTTTGAGGTAGGAGTCACTATCCTTACGCAGGAATCGAAAACATCAGCGCGAAAAACCCTTGAAGCGTTTTGGATCAATTCCAAAAATTCGAAAATGAACCGCAAGGAGGAGTGTCTTGTCATCACGCGTGACCTGGCGCCATACCTTAGGCTAATCCAATGACCTGACACAGGCACAGTTATCGCCCATGTATTACTCTGTGCTGCGGCTATCCACCAACTAACTTAAATACTTACAACAAATAAACGGTAGGTGTTTGAATGAAGCTGTTTCTTATGCGAATGCAAATCGAATTGTCAAGTTTTATCTGCTAGGGTTGTGAAAGTGTTTGGCTGAGTAGATCACATCTCAATTTGACCTTTCCAGGCTCTGAAGAAGGCGAAACCGCCGAAACGTCAGCAATTGTGTTCTAATAAATTCTATATTAACAACCTCGTGTCTGCTTATTGATGAAAAACATTGAATTATAAATGTATGCTGTTTAAAAACCTCACGATTGCTGAACAAGAAAACAACACATTCATATTCCAATGCCGAGGTTAAGAGAAAGTCGATCCTGGGAACTATCTCAACACCGTAGCGGTTGCATTTAACATTATATCGTGCCGTGAAAAATTATAGTTGGCAGCAAATAAAAGGTAAACGTTGTAAGTTCTGTCTTTTGTTTTTTCCTATATATAATGGATTAATGGATCAGAGGTAATAAAGGGTTCGCACTTTTGAATTTGTAAGAGTTGGCATTAAATTAAGAAGTGTATGTTCTACGTATAGGAAAAGCGAAAATTACGTTTATTTTGGACAAATCCGCCGCATAGCTGATTCCTACAGATGGAGACGAGCGTACGAGTGAGGCGCATCCCACATAGCCGAATACTGGATTCGATTGTTGGTATTGAGATGAACAACAACAGCAGCAGCAGCAGGATCGGACTGAAACTATAAAGTCGGACTCAATTCTGGAGTGGTTACTCCCACATTTGTGACAGAGACTTTCACCACTCGGTCATGCTGTGCCCTCGTTTTAGCATCGCACAGAAACACTTGGAAACATCATCTTCCAGGTTCACTTGAAATGTTTAAGGATTGGAAACTGTTAATTAATGATTCCTAGTGGAATTTGTCTTTATTTTCGTTGCATTTGCTATCAGAAATTTAAGCCAGTGGAGATATTGAGCAGCCATGTTTCGCTAGTTCGCGAACAATTGTCTGTTTATGCAGCCTACATGTAGATACGATGGTAGCCTTTTGCTAAACTTCTTTGTGATACTACCTTCTTGAAGTCACTATGTGGCCTCGCTGTATCCAATCGCACAAACTAGGGATAAGGAACCGAAATGATGTGGTGAACAGTAGTACGAAAATGTTTGAAATGAGGCCAGACTGGTGAATGTTTCTCTCTTGGCAAGATGATTTTATGAACAGTGTATAAGCGTTGATGTTTAAGGCTACAAGTCCCGAAACTATGATGGTGGTGAAGATGTGGTTTTGCCGTTCGGAATATAATTTGTAAAAGAAAAAAGATGGAATTTATTTCAGCAATTTGGTTTACTACTAATGAAGGAGCTGTTAGTGAAGTCAACGGATTCCTTGCACATCTCCGTTTTGTCATGTACTATAATTTAAAGGCGTTCCAGGCATAATGATAAACTAGATGTAGCAGAATCCGAGGCATCAGCCTTCAACTCCAGCGATTTAGTATTGTTGGGAGAGAAAATGCTGTTCTGCTACGTTCTATTATCCAAATGGATTACTTTCCAGCTGAATGGGATCGACATGAAGGATCGACATTGTTAGGATGATTGCCAACTGTACTGTGAGTACGATACCGAGTCTGTAAAATTGAAAGCGGGTACTTCGAATTCTGTTATATCACTGTGTTCCCGATTAAAAACTGCTTCCTACCTTCGGCGGTCGCGATGCTGCTGCATGTTCATGACGGAGACTTGACCAAAGCCTGCAAATATTTGACAGCGATCAGAAGTGGCTCCATTGGATAAGATCAGAAGTGCTAACGAGAAAATTGAGGAAATTGTGTGATATAACTAACGACATAGAAAGGAGATTAAAGAAACGGCGTCTCTAACTTAACTATAAGCTACTAGTTGTGGTTAGGGGACCTGAGCCGCAGAAGGATTTCAATGGAATTTGAAAACATTTGTATTCTGATCACATGAATACATTAAAGGCCGAGCTTACATTTTCCCATAAAAAATTTAAGGATAATTACACAATTTTTTTTTATTAAAAGCAAAAACTACCATAGAAAAAGCGATCTGAGATAGATTCCTTAAAGCTGAAGTGAAATGGTTGTGAAATAAGAGTATTGAAGCTCCTTTTGGTAATAGAGTACACCAAACAAAGATATTTCTAGCTATCTGGAAGACAGTTATCTGATGGATGAGCCGTATTCATTAGCTCAGGGGTCCAAAAGTGTTGAGGATATTATGAGGAAAACGGATGGAGAATGAGAATTCGTGCACTGTTTTTGTATTTGAGTGTCTCCGGCGACAGAGTACTGGATGTACTACTTTTTACTTCCTGTATTATGGTCAGTGCTATCGATTAGCTGACAATGTGTAAAAGTGAACATCCCAAAATTCTCAGAGTAGCGCTGCTATAATGACAACTGAAAGGACTCTAATGCGTCCTGAGGACGATGGAGTTCACTCTTGCGATAGCTGGTTTACTGTACAATCTGATAGATCGGGCTTGGGTGCTGACTGAGAGAAAACGCACGACAATGAATTAGAAGCGAAATCAGTTGGAGGAGATGAATGATGATTCTCTTCCATCAATGTCTATTACGCCTCTTTTATGCAAATTATCCACTCCAATCTGTAGCAGGTTACTTCCACCAAAAAAAACCGTCAAAATCTCTTGGAAATGGTTCGTTTAGTAAACCATAAAAGTACTACTTTATATTATACCGTATGCTACACAACCTCGCAATCACAGTGAAGTAGGCCACTTTGCTGAGATTGCTTAAATACGGAGATATAAGTTTTTGCCCGTAAATAAAGTGTTATCTACTGCATTCCTAAATAAATTGGTGTAGAAATACATCTTCACAGATATAGAATTTGTAAGACTGTTTCCCAACAAATGCTTCCTGCTTACACTGTTGCCGTGAACCACTTTGCCGGAATGAATACTTGTCTTGTAATAGTTCTCGCAACATTTAAAATGTTTTAACAATTATTTAATGGTTAGCATTTAGAAATGGGTGGATAGCACAGTGGTAGTGATACCAATAATCACGAGCATGGTGCTGATTCAATCCCGCCCCAGGTTCACCAAACCTCTTAACCCTTCGATGCTGGGAAATTGGTACTGCACTTGTTCGGAGAACTCTTACGACTCTAAGAGAATCGACTCGACCAGAATTCAATGACATGCATAATGAAAGGAAAATCCTCAAGCAGCGGCCGAACCTAGACGTAAAAGTTGGAAGACTCTTGTGGATAATTGATGGGAGGAAACGAATCGAATGTGGGAACTGCTGGAAACCGCACAGTAGACGTGAAGACGAGTCGTATAAAATGGAAAATAAGAAAGCTATTTAGCATCGTTAGGGTATAATGCCGACTGAGAGGAAGTCGAAACGAAATCTCGTAATGCAATGAATAGTACTTGTGCCCCTGGAAGGCTAACAGTGGATTCAAATCCCAACTGAAATTTCGAGTTTTGCTCATAACTCAGCATGCTTGCGGTTTTAAATCAGTGGAAAGCTGGCCCTCAAAGAATTGCTCGAAATGACTATAAAATGACTCGATGTTAAATCACTAATAATCATGGATTTTAAAGACACCAAAAAATGTGAAAAAGAAACAGATGTTTGCGAAAGTGTTTAGACGAGGGCGAACATTTCACTAAATTTCTACTAAAAGAAAGTTACGCTGAAACTTCGGCAGCATGAAAATTTACTGGCCCACCGACTGAAATGGATTAGAAATCTTTGTCTCATACAACGCACGCAACGCATCTTTGGTCAACGGGGACTACGATTCGAAACACGGTGACAAATAATTCCAAGGGCAAATAATTTTCAGCAATCAAGCCAACTTCAACATTTCGTTTTGCTGTAATACACAATTTGTCATAAAGAAATAAGTGTAGACCTCGTTGGTCTCCCATTTTGATTAATGGAGTTTCAGTTGGGTTGCGGTATTTCGAAGGTCCCATTTAAAGTCAGTCATTTTTTGCACCAGAACAGCCACGTGAAACGGAAGGGATTCCTTGGTCATAATCGAGAGCGTTTGCAGTAATTTTGGAAACCAGCTTTCACTTGACCTCGGCCTGAGTAGTCAGCGATAATTGCTTCTATTCATAAACTTAAACGAGGTTGTTATTTTTTGGCCGGAGGTCCAAGTTTTGCGAGTATCTCAGTATCACTGCGGTTGTTCTTTTTATTCGGCTAATGTTTCGACGTTTTCGTGTGCATAAAAAGAAAACACGAAGTGAGATTACCTCTCCAGCGACGTTAAAGACCCACTCACATCTGAAGAAAGAATGGCTGTTAACAATTTACACGGATCAATCAAGCCATGAAGAAGAGCAAGACGTCGAGACGTGTGCTAAATAGAACCTGTATAACAACCCTGTGTAAATTTATGAGAACAACAAATTACAAGCCTCTAAAGTTTTGCAGAGGTCGCTACGCAACCTAGTGCTAAATAATTTTTTAGTGAATTGCTTTGGTATGTAAATCTGGGGCAGGAGTGATTTTTTCACAGCCCGATCGGAGACTATGCTGTGCTCCTATTCTTATTTCTAAAAAATCAACAGAGCAGCGTGTACTGGTAAGCCTATTTTTGTGCTCCGTATGAAGCTGTTTCTCATTGAAACAGCTGAAAATGCCACTATTAATAGGGGAAAATCCTAATCATAGTAGTGCTCTTCTCGGGAGTGAACCTGCTTCTGCCTTCGAATCAAGTGTTTTCGTTTGAAACAGCGATCATAACATAACATAGCTTAGATGTGGGATTGCGCGAAAGCTTGTGAGTATTTAATAGGCTTGATACAAATGAATTAAAACTGAAATCGAAATATAAAGGACAGAGAATAAAAAGTGACCAATTTCCGAGTTTTTGCCTCATGCATTTGACTTCACTAAGCAATATAGAGGCGATTGAATGCATATTTGGTCCATATGACTTGCATGGGCCTGCCGATGTATCAATTCGTCGTTTTTACACTGCCGCACTAGTCTGCTGCCAGTTTGACTAACCCGCAAAAATGGGAGGCTCGTTCAGGTCCGGACGTGGGCTTGAACTAGGGACGGAAATGTGTACCATAGGGCTCTTCTAACAACTGCGTCAGATGGTGATGTAAGTATTAAACGTAATTAACGTAAAATAATAGAAAAATAGACTGCAAAATAAAAAAAGACGACGCTTGACACTTTTATATTTTTGCCTTTATCTTTCTTTTCTTTAAATATTTTACCAAAGACATAAGAAATGTGCGTTGAAATTATGAAAGTTGGATCTCTGGAATACCATTATATCAATGAAATACCACAGTATCAACGAAGAAAAGACTTTCGATTCCACTTTCCCGTTATTAACTAAGCTTAGTGGTAAGCAACTATGCATGGTGTACATCCTCGACGTCGAGGCTTTTCTTTTAAAACTTCCGAGTAGCTTCGAAGGCGCTCATATGGGCGCCTACTGTAATTCAACAAGGTGCCCTCTGGATTCCACTCAAAGATGGGACTGTCAAATAATCTTCAGGATGTGGTTGCAGGTGTTTGTGATGCTTTGTCTCTCACTATAATCCATGGTCTTCCTTGAGTAGTCAATCCATCAGTGGCCACTCCGACTGTGACATAATGTATGAGATGTGCGGAGATATAAAA